CGTCTACCAAGTCACAGTGCCAGGTACTCCAAAAAACATATTTTTAGAGGGCCCATCAACCATGCTCTGAATTAACTATATCGCATTTCAAACAATGCACATTTTTGTTTTCTTCTCCTGAATAATGTTGAGTAATGAATTATGTCCCTAAAATTATACTGAAAATGAATACACACTACTCTGCTCATATAATCCAATTTCTCTGCACACACCAGTCATTAACATAGACGGAAACTGACCATATCAGCTAAGACAGAAATTGCAGCCACCATCACCAATGGAACAAATACTGAAATTACCCTCTAAAATGACTCTATGCTTGGTTGGCTGTAGCAAGCAAAATCTGTCTAACAAGGCATCTCTCAGGTTTTTAATAGCTTTTTGTTTAATGACAGATTCAAGATGTGCCTGCAAGAACATAATCAAATTGCTGTTATCAAAACAGCAGCGAGCAGCCATCCTTGGGGAAATGGAGTAATATTAAGAAAATGTATGTTTTATTGATAAGTCAAGCACTTATAGATAATGGGAGTGATATATTGTGGCTGTTAATATTAGGGGAAAAAATGAAAGCATGGAAAATACTCACTTATTAAATTTGATTTAAAGATTGTTTCAATATGATGTCTTACGTGTTAGACAATGGCGCTGGAAAAATTACTTGGGTTTTTATTCATTTTGTAATACTTTTAGTGACAAATTTTTAATATAACATTATTTTATATAAATTTGCACTGTGTGTGCTTTCACATCAGACTAAGGAAACAGTACAGTGCTGAATATTCTGAATACCATAATTTTAACTAAAAAATGTAAAACAACACAGCGTATTGGAACAGTTTTGGCCACAGCGCTTCAAAATTGGTTTAAACATTTCGTAACTTTAAATCAAATAATTTCAGTAAAAACTATAAATAATTATTTGAAAAATGCACACAGCCTAGTCATGACTACTCACGCTTATCCTAAAATTAATAATATAGCAATAACATAATGACACCTATGTTTTGTGTTTCAAGTGTAGAAAGGCATGAATTATTAGCTTTACCTAAGAACCATGATTGGCAAACACACACACTGGGCTTTTTTTTTAGAACAGTCAACATTATGGGTGGAAAGTCAATAAAACATTTGAGACAATTTTCTAGACCTATGAGTGCATTAGAAAGTTTTACACCTAATTCATGAAAGCAACAGTTTTGCTAACAGTTCCAACACGTGACAGATTTTAGTAGTTATTACTTGCACCACTTTCACAATGTATCACTATGGCTGCTCAAAACTGGAGATAACTAAGGTCAACTCTAAGTTGGAGTACAGGGACAGACCAGAGTGCTTAGAGTGAGGCTGTGTATTAAAGAGCAAAACAAAGAGCATGGCTGTGTGGAATACAACCATTGCTGGTTGTTAGAATGCTGTTGGCTACAAAGCTTTGCAATTGCTAGGACACAGGCCACCAGTGTCCTAGCAGCGGTTGGCAATGGACCGAACACTGACAACTAGTGAAGCTTAATGGGGATGCTGAAGTCTATTTCCCCATCAAGTCCACTTTCGTTGTGATTGACAGCAAATGTCAGTGGGCAGATTCCATGTCCGCTAGCGGGCTGTCTATCAGCTATGGGGTCTGTCCACTACTATCCACTGTCATTCACAAGGGAGGCAGACCTGATGGGGAACCAGTCTCTTAGAATCCCCATAAGACGTCACTCACCCAACAGTAAAACCCATTGGCCTGTCTATTGGAAAAGCAAAAGGAAAAGAAAACGGGTCTCTTTAGTTGTTGGAACAAAGTAGACATTTTTATTTTTGTAGTGTACATTGTGAAAACAATGCATGGTTTGTGATTCATGTAGATATATTACCTGTGTGTGCATGCATGTACTGTATAAATGACATATGTATGCTTCAATTAAGTATTCACACATGAATTGGTTCTATTATTTTGAAGAATACTAATCATTCTATTTATACATCATATCACAACAGTTAGTTCCTATTGGTAACATGTACACTTTCCTTTGCTCTGGTTTTAAATCGGCCCATTATATGAAATTTTGTGATATGCCTGAGACATAGTACAAAGAGGTTAGATTATAACACTTGGGGCTTGCTGTAAAACATGCTGCTTTCTGAATAATTGAAACCTGTAGGTATAATGTGCATATGAAAGAACTTGACTTTGATTTCTTTTTAATTTCTCCAAAGAAACTCTTTCAGCCTTTGAATTCACAGATTTTTAATTGGATTTCTTTGCACTAAGCTTCATCAATAAATGCTTTTATTGGTTTAATTACAAGTCTGTTTCCATTTGTTATGAGATTCTACGATTGATATTGCACTGTGACAATTACATTTTTGTTTAAAAGAAAATGTATTAAAGGAAAATAGCAAGAGACAGACTCATTGTGCCATTTGATTCATTGAGTTCCTTTTCACGGGCCTTTTTGATGAATGATGGCATCCAGAAATGTTATTTAAATGGTATATCAGTGTCGTGCCACTCAGCTTAATCAGTTTTACACAAAGAACAAGAAAGATTCCCAATGAAACCAGAAGCCACTTCCAGTTGTAATAGGGAAATGATTAAAATCATACTTTCAAAATGTACTTAGAGTGCCTGGCATCAAGCTGTACATTTCAATAAAGACTAAACATGCTTAGTGCGTTATATACAGACAGGGTGAGACTGCATTAGCCAAGTTGCTTCAAAGTGCTCCTGTCGTCCTCATCAGGTATAGCTCTTCAATAAAACAAGCCTAAAAAGTCCTGGCTACATCTGTCCAAATGTATTTCACAACGGTTCACTGCTGATTTCCACATATAGGGTAACATTGAAAAAAATAAATTCGCAAATGAAAATTTATGCGATAACTTCATCCGTTATGCCCAATTTAACAAAAAAAAAAGGCCCGATAAATGGCATGCCTTAAAGATGAATATGATTAACATGAACAATGTCAGTCTAAACTTATCAAACAAGGAAAAACCAGAAAAAAACTATTGCAAGAACCATTTAGACTAATACTTGCATGTGGTATTATATTCAATGACAGTAATCAGTATATATTAAAGCCTAATAGCAGTCATAAGTGAAAGTCCAACTCCGGATTTGCCAGTCCCCCACCCCTCTTATTCCTCTGGGGATGAATAGATTATAAATTCATAAGAGAGCTGTGTATATTATAGAGTTGATTTTAAATATCTGCAACACCTGCTCCTAGAGAAGTGGACTGTGTTCCAAGAAATGCGTTGAGCTGTATAGCACATTATATCATTGAAAATGTATGGAATCATCCAGTGGGGATGAGTGCTTTTAATACTGTGATGTGTATTTATCAAATTGTGGTCAGAACTAAAACCATGCTTTTATAAAAAAAAAAAAAGTTTTTTAATATATTGTAGTGAAGTAATTGGAATTAGAATCTATGTGGTATATTTGTGCCCCAAAAATCCCACCTAGATTATAAATCTTCTTTCACCAGGTATATAAGAGAGTGGTGCATCTCCATCACTGGATGATGTAATTAAAGATGAGAGTACATCATGGATTTATATATATATATATATATATATATATATATATATATATATAAAAGGACTTTTCAAAAACTAAAGGTAAGGGTCTTTATTTACTGTTTCTTAATTTTTGTGTGAATGATTAGAGGTATAGTCAAATGGGGGGCCACCTTATCATTAAAGGGGGTTTCCAGATGCCAATAAACTCTCTGTCAGGACCTCAATCACCTGCTGGTGACACAGTGCTTCCAAAAGTGGGAGGTTGTAGTTCTGGTGTCCACCAGCAGGTGTTCCCCAGTAGCCAGCAGTTGCTAGAAATCAGTCTCCACCTGATGCTGGCTGTTGGGAGGGAATTTAGTCTCCCCTCTGCTGGTACACTTTGTGTCAGTGTTTTGCTTTCCTGTGCTAAGTTAGATACTGCTGCCATTTGTCCTGCTCCTGCTCCTGATCTTGCTCTTGCACTGCATCCTGTACCCTGAACCCTGCTGCCTTTTATCTGTTCTTCTTTTTCCTGATTATAGTCCTGGTTCCCCCCTTCCTTGCACCTCCAACATTCCTTGTGACCTGTGCTCCTCATCTTATATTGGTATATGGTTGTAGTTCACTTGTATGTACACATTTGTTTCCTTTTTGCTGGTGTGTATGTCTTTTGTTTTACTAGTAATACATTTACTTTGATATATATAGTGCTTAGCATAAATAAGTACACCCCAACAAATCTGTCAGAAAACCATTCTTTTCCTTTCAGAATCATCATTTTCTATGGAACACTGTACTACAAAATACTCCCACAAATGCAGGCCATTGATTGCAAACAAGATTTGTTAATTTGCATACACAAAAAAGTATTTTTCCTAATATATTCATTCAAGACCATGTTGCAAAAATGAATACACCCCAATGAAAGTCTTAGGAGCAAAGCTAAATTTTAGACAACAAAACCCTAATTAACAAGAATTCAACTAAAGGTGAGCCTAATTATTCATTAAACAGGTGTACAGGAGACAGTTGATTATAAAAGGGCATTACTTAACAAAGAAAACCCCTTCCCATCTCATGCTGTCAGCAATGGAACCACATGGAAGAAAAATGTCACAAGAACTGAGAAAGAAAATAATTTCTTTACACAAGAAAGGTGAAGACTACAAGAAGATCAGCAAAGCATTACCTGTCAGTCAGAATACTGTAACAAAAGTGATACAAAAATGTAATAAAGATGGAACTGCAGCCAGCTCACAGAGACAACCAGGCTGTCCATGGAAGTTAACACCTCGACAGGTGCGTCTTCTGCTGAGAAGGGTTGAAGAAAATCACCATGCAAGTTCACTGCAGTTAGCTAAAGAAATAGAAAGCCAAACGGGCTGATTGGTTCCCGTGACACAATATGGCATACACTGCAGGGGAATGGCATGCATATGTGTCGTCCAAGAAGGACTCCTCTCCTAAAGTCCATGCACAAAAAAGCTCACCTAGAATTTTCCAGGGCCCATGCTGAAAAAGAAGAAGACTACTGGGACTCTGTACTCTGGAGTGATGAGACCAAGATAAATGTTTTTGGAATGGATGGCTTCAAAACTGTATGGTGTCACAAAGGTGATAAGTACAAAGACAAATGCATGGTGCTTACAATGAAACATGGTGGTGGTGTCAGTGTTCTTCTGTGGGTCTGCATGAGTGCTGCTGGTGTCGGGGTGCTGTATTTCATTGATGGTATCATGAATTCACAGATGTATTATGTTGGATGAGAAGATGCTACCATCACTGTCGTTGGTTGTAGTGCACTTTTCCAATATGACAATGATTTAAAACACACATCTAAGGCCACTGTTGCATTTCTGAAAAAGAACAGGGTTAAAGTGATTCAGTGGCCAAGTATGTCCCCTGATCTGAACTCAATCGAACACCTATGGGGAATTCTGAAGAAACAAGTTGAGCATCACTCTCCATCCAGCATCCAAGCTCTAAAAGAGGTTGTTCTTGAAGAATGGAAAAAATTAGATGTTGTAATATGTTGCCAACTTGCTCATTCCATGCCTAGAAGACTTGGTGCTCTCCTTACAAGTCATGGAGGTCATACAAAATACTAGATGTAGTCGTTTTTGTTGTGGGGTGTATTCATTTTTGCATCAACGAATCTGAGTAAAACTTAAAATTTTGTAATCTAAGTTATATTATCAACCTTACTTTCATGTAAACAAATGTACAATAAAACTCAGTTTTGTCAAAATTTTGGAAACTTCTTGTGGTCATTGAGATTTTGATTAAAATCTTACTTTTCAAAAGGGGTGTACTTATTTATGCTGAGCACTGTATATATATATATTCTGGTCTCAGTTTCTAATTGTAGACATGCAGATCTGGCCATCTCTGCTGCTGATTCCTGACACTCCCTGCCTGGAGACCCATGCCAACTTATCTACATGGGGACAGGGTGCCGCGGGCAAGGTACCCCCCATGTTGAGGACATGTAGCCAGTATGGTTTATTCCCCCTTCCCTTTCCTGCCCAGCCTTTTTATACAACGCAGAGGATTAACCCTTTAGGTTCCACAGTGAGTATAACAAGCATGCTTTACTGCATATACAGATTGGTTTTAGTAACACTCTGAGGACTGCAATCCCTGATTTGTAGTTTTGGCATATCTCTGCTCAATCAGCACAAAACCCTTTTTGTTTTTCTATTACATTGGTTTTCATAAACATGTTTTGTACTTACTGTAACTCTGTTTTTATTTGTCATTATACCAGATGTATTATGTTGTCAGGGAATTATAATTCTGTCGGTTAGTCACTTTTCTGTTTTCACCAACATCCTTATCTCCAATATGTTGGCAACAATGCCTTAATTAAAACTGAGTTATTAGTATTATATTCTGTAAAGGTTTATGCAGTTTTTATCTTGCTGACATATAACTGCAAAGCAAAAGACATAATACAAACATAAACAATGCACAGAAGAATCAATAAATGCTAAATTGTTGAAATATATTTGTTTTTTTTTTGCAGTACATGATTAATAGTTTAACAACAAACGTTAATGCTAATGGGTTCGTGATATTTAAACGTACATAGCAGAAATATAACAAAATAGAGAGTATATCTCAGCATGAAATGCATGTTTTTAAAAGTTTACTCTACTTAATAATGTAACATAAAAACTTACCCAGATCCTTTTGTAATACTGAAGTAAAAAAAAGTAGAACCACCACACTTAAAAATAAGAGTATATTGTAACTATCTTCAATTAAAAATATCTGTAAGTGTGGCCAACACTCCCCAATCATCTGGGTTAAAAATGAGGTGAATGGTGAATTCATATCCAGCTGCTGAACGCATACTGTAGCTTTTCTGCTACAGTGCAGGCTGGCTGGGGGCAAAATCATATTTATACCTGATTTTGTGTTTCTGTCATTGGCTCCCTGACATATCAATCAGTGGCTGGGATCTGCCGATTGTCGGAGCTAGTGACAGGAGAGAGAGATCTGTGTTGGTGAACACAGTTCTCTCTGCTGACAGCAGGGATATGACAGTTTTAGTTTTCCTGCAAAAATTGGCATATCCACTAGTAAAACAGCACACAGTCAACACATTACACATATTTAGGCACACATTTAACACTTTGATTGTTAGAGATGTTAACCCCTTATTAGCACTGGTCACTGTTTTAGTGTCACTAGTCATTTCAGTGGCAGTTAGTCAATCTCAGAATACCCACCATACTATCACAGTCCTGCTATAAGTCACTGATCGCAACCATCAGTAGAATTAAAAGAAGAAAAAAAAATTCTAGTATATATACCATCATTTTTAGACACTATTTATTATAGTGTACACTTATTTGGATTTTTACCAAAGACATGTAGCAGAATACATTTTTTGGCCTAAATTTATGAAGAAATGTTATTTTTTACATTTTTTAAACCACTTGCCCTCCAGAGGATTTAGCCTCCTTCCTGACCAGGCCATTTTTTGGGATACAGAGCTGCGGTATTTTAACTGACAATTGCGCACTCATGCAACATTGCACCCAAATTAAATTTACGTCCTTTTTCCCCATAAATAGAGCTTTCTTTTGGTGGTATTTGATCGCATGTGCGTTTTAATTTTTTGCACTATAAACAAAAAAAGACTGACGATTTTGAGAAAAAAAACAATATTTTTACTTTTTAAACACGTCCAGTAAAAAAAAATGTTTAAATCAAATTCCATCATACATTTAGGCCAAATTGTATTCTGCTACATGTCTTTGCTAAAAAAAATCCTAATATGTGTAAATTAATTTACACGAAAGTTATCGCGTTTATAAATGGAGGTATAGATGCTGTATTTTTTTTTGTTTTACTTTTAATGGCTGTGATCAGCGACTTATAGCAGGACATCCCCAGTGACACCAATACAGTAATCAGTGCTAATAAAAAGTACTGACACTGTACTAATGGCACTGCGCAGGAAGGGGTTTACATCTGGGATGATTAAAGGGTTAACTGTGTGCTGTGTGCTATTTCACTATGTTTGCTGTGTGTGTGCTTCACTGTAAGCACACTGCTTTGTATGGCTGTGCTATGCAGAGCCATACAAAGAAGTGTGTAGGAGCTGATAGGGGAGAGATCTGTATTGTTTACATACAGGTCTCTCCCACATTGGAGATAGTCGGCGATCACCGGGTGCCCCGTGATTGACATCCAAGGCCGCGAATGGCGGTGAGGGTAGGCCCCCCTATCCGGAAATGCAAAAGCATGTACATATATGTGATTTTACACACCTGTGTTGCCCTTTAGCAGCATTTCTACTATAGGGTGGTGTGGAACTGGTTAATGGGAATATGTTTTATAAATATGTAAAATTTTGATTTGTTTTGTTTTTAATTTTCGTTTTTTTTCATTTTTAGAGCAAAAAATAAGAAACCCAATAGTGATCAAATATCACCAAAAGAAAAGCACTATTTGTGTGAAAAAAATTATATAAATTTCATTTGTGTACAATGTTGTATGACCGCACAATTGTCAGTTAAAATAGTGCAGTTGTAAGCCATGTACCGGGGTGGGCTCCCCAGGATACAGTGAAGTCAGAAACGAGGAAAGCAACCCCAACACCAGCTTTTGCAACAACAGAATTTTACTTAGATGTGGCAAATAAACACAACCACAAATGCTGGAAACATACAATAAATTTACATACACCCAGCCCAAAGGCTGAGACCCTTGTGCTGCACAGCACGGCGCCTTCTGATGGATGAAGGTAGAAAGTGAAGTAATTTACCTACTGGCGGGCACAACTAAGCTGCCACACCTTACCTGTTATTACCCTAAAAGAGCAGGAATCAGTGTATGGGTGTATGGTATGGGCTAGCCTGCAGTGCAGCACATCAGCTTACAATCTTACACAAATCTACAGTATTCCCCCTCCCATAACTGGTCCTGTAGCACGTGCCTGAGTATTCCTTCTGAGCAAAACGCCAGTCTGGCTTGAGTTTGTGGGATTTTATCAGCTCTCCAATGTGATATGTCACTTTAAGTTGTGGAGTCCTTCCAATGATCAGTAACAACACTTGTGGCCTGACACAAACAGAGACTCTAACTAACTAACTATAGGCCTTTCTCAGTCTCAAGGCGCCAACACTGAAATGAGGTGCGTGCCCGATCTTACCTACCCGGGTCTGCTTTGTATCCGCTGGTGACTCTGAACAGAACAAATGTCTCTCCAACAAGCAGCAATCTCATCAGCATTCCTGGCAGCAATCTTCCTTTCTCTGAAAAGGATCAGCGTCTTGAACACCATCAGCTTCACTTAGCTGCATTTCTGATTACGGAGGGATGTTCTCACACCTGGATGGCATCGGATTCTCAGCTCACACACAGCCCCATTCTCCAAAGCATGGCTGCTGTCTCCTCTTCCTGTTCACTCAACTCCTGTGTGAAAACCCCACCTCTTCATGAATATAGACGTATCTATGAAGTCTGAGGCTGTGTTAGAAAAACAATGACATGTTGTGGCTAAACCGCAGAATGTCAGTCAAAACATTTGATTTACTCCAAACAGTGTTCAAACAATGAGAGCTATTTCCCCATCTTACGCAGTTCTGTACGGGGGGTAAATCTTCCGGTGGGCAAGTGGACATACTATATAAACATGACCAGAATTTCAGTCTCAATTTCAGAAAATAAAAAAACAAAGATTTTAAGTTTCATGTGTCATATCTTTTAAAATGGTTCTAAAGGCAGAATATTTTTTTTACCCTGCATTAAGATAAAAATATCCCAGCATTTTTCTCACCCACTCACCCCCCATATATTTACCTGACTCCCTTTATCTCGATCCAGTGATATACCCATTTACTGCTTTGCTGCTCTCTGTTCCTCCTCTCACAGGACACAGAGGTGACAATAGAAGCCATTGGTTCCTGCTGCTGATAATCAAATCCTGTTACAAGGGAGTGTGGGCTGTGGTGGGGTCGAGCCACACTGTGTGTGTCTATGGGTATACACAGCGTGGCTCAGGAACAAGTCTGCACATCTGCCCCCTTGCTATGGGCACAGATGCAGATGAAGAGCAGTGGACAGTGCCGGCAGTAGACCCCAGAAGAGGGGCTACAATTCTCTAATCAAAATAAAATTGTGGATATGAAGGATTTACTAATGGAGTAACTACCCTGTACGTAGTGGCCAACATATTTGCAAATACAAAAGCAGGATTGTGTTGCAAGCAAACTTTATTTCTTTTCAAAAGGTATATATAACATAAAACATGATGCCATTATGATGTATATTATTTTTGTTATGACTTATTTAATAAAGTAAAGCAAAGTGAGCTTACCATGTGAAAAAAGTGGCATTTCGTAAGA